AGACGGTCCTGAGTAATCTTTACTTTCATAATCTCATAATTCAACTTTATAACGTCATGACGCTGAAAATAAAAGGAGGATATTAAACTTTGGGTATTTTTCGGTTAATATGAAAAAGTTTTGAAATACACAAATTATACATATTCGAATGATGTATCACTTATCATGAAGAAACATTATAAACATTATAACGTGAAAAAAATCGTTATATATATATATATATATATATATATATAATATAAATATACATAACATGTATAAATATGGATAAAAATATAATTATATATGATTGTATATGAAATATATTCATATATAATATGTCCATACATCCTTCTTTCTTTTGTGAAATTACTGTTTTATTATAAAAAAAAAAAGAATAATAATTAGAAAATATAAATAATTGTAAGAATAATTTTCACATTGATTTAGAAAAAAATCATTTTAAAAAGAAAGAAGGATGTATGAATATATATGAACATATTTCATATATAACTATATATAATTATGTTTATGAACGTATATGTATATACGAGGGGTATCCGGAAAATAAGTTCCGTTTTTTTTTACAAATAAAGTTTTTATTGTGCCAAATGGGAACGTTTTTTCTTTAAAATGTCGTTGAAACGATCCAATAAGGCTGCACCATACATAATCGCCATTGATTATTTGCTTCGACGGAAGGTAATCGATATGAATTATACCGCATCCAAAAAACTCTGTGGCCATCACCTTTCCGGCCGATTTCACGGTCTTCGCCTTCTTTGGAGCTGGTTCACTTGGTGAAGTCCATTATTTTGACACTGTTCCTTCGTCTCGGGTATAAAGTAATGGATCCATATTTCGTCCACACTAATGAATCGACGCAGAAATTCATCTGGATTACATTGAAACATCTCCAAACATTGTTTTGAAATCATCACACGGTCGCGCTTATGGTCTACAGTGAGCAAACGCGGCACCTATCTTGCCGATAGCTTTTTCATACCCAATTGTTCATGCAAAATTGAAATCACTGTGCCATGTGATATGCCTGTGGCCTCAACAAGCTCGCGCATTTTCACTCGTCGATCAATCAAAACAATATCGTGGACTTTATCGATGATTTCTGGCATAGCAACCTCAATTGGATGTCCCGAACGAGGTGCATCACATGTGGATGTACGACTACGTTTAAATTTATTCACCCAATTGTATACAGTCGCAAACGCTGGTGCAGATGTGCTATGAACATTATTCAACTCGGCTTTGATTTCTTTCGACGTTAAGCCTTTCATATGTAGATGTTTGATTATTGCACGAAACTCGGTTTTTTTCCATTTTGCAAAAAATACAAAGGTTGTTCGCTTTAATCGTCTATAGAAATGAAACCACGCGATGAATTCCACTCAAAATTTGACAGTAATCAGCTGAAAGATGCTACTTGT